AATTTCTTTACTTCATATTGTAATCCATAGAAAAATTGGCTGATGAGTGTTGCATCATCTCACTTGATATCTATCGCTAATTGTAAAAATTATGAAGCATATAATATCATTGATTAATTGTCTTATCGCAAGATACAAATTTTGTTGGTTGCAACATAGATTGCATCATGTTTTCCATACATAGATTGAAACTCTACTAAGAATGCTTCCAAATTATCTAATATTGGATCACGTCATTCAAGAAATGATGAAAACTATGATAAAGTAGAATCTGAAAGTAGTGTTTCAATAAATCTGACTTGTAATCCTTGAATTGGATAACTTTGAGGTTGTAGATCAATCACTAGTTGTACATGATTGATGAATCCTCAAAACTTAGAACTTGTGCCATCAAACTTCTCAAGCAATCCAATTTTTGGTTCCTTGAAACTTGAACAATGTTCCATTGTAGGAGCAATAGTATGGCTTGGTATAGTCCAATCATCTCTATATCTTCATTGCTTGATAATCTTATTGCTATTTATGGTGGTAGACTGAGTTGATACATTCCAAGCATTAACTCTCTCATTTACTCTTGCATTTGAGCCATTCCACTCTTCATTTCAGTAAGCTCTACCATACTAGCAGAATAAAAAGAAAGGTGTCTATTCTCACAGAATAAAATATTCAAGAATCAAGAAAAAAAAATCTAGAAATAATATCAGTTAAGAAGAAGGTAATCCACAGCTTCTAGTATTCTTATGCATTATCAAGAAAAAGGGGTAATCCACTTTTAATCAAGAAAGGACAAAGCTATAATATTGTATGTGCACTCTTGTCAATCTGTCAATGACACAAACAAGAAGATGATACATAAACTCGTGGAATCTATGTCAAAAAAAAAGTGACAAAATAGAAGAAAGTATGTATATTCAAGAAAGAATTGGAATGGCTATTGCCAAAGACTAAAAAACATAAGACTCTTGAAACTAGACTAAAAGCAAAAAAAAGAGTTGACAAGAGTGAATAAGGCCTTATTCTTGCCTCTATATATACTACTTAACTAAGAAATATGTGGCAATATGCTATAAGACGTCTAATATGCATCCAACTTGTAAGACACATGTGTAATTTGCAAGGCAAGTTTCCTAGGTGTGTAGCATATGTCCAACTTGTACTACAAGTGGTCAACATGTCGACACACGACGTCCTTGTTGGTTAATTTTTCAACCTACCAATCACCTATAGACATGTATAAAGGCAAAGTAGCATCTATGAAGCTTCTAAAAAGCTTTCCACAAGATAATATCATATTTATCTATTTTCACTTCTATCTATTCTTATTATCTAAATAGTTATCAGGATAAATATGTACATCCATGACTTGTTTTGCTTTTTAAATCTATTATAAAACAAGAAAAAACTTGATGCAAATAAGAATGATTTTGCATCTATTATAAAGAACCAAATTATATTGTTCAATATTATCTTAAAAAGAAGAAAAATCACTATATTAGGAGTATAATTTTAAAAGAAGACTATGTATCAAAAAAAGATTTGCTTAGTAATATTAGAAATAGTGCAATTGGAGTTTTGCATCATATCATCTTATGAAATTTCTATACTATCTTTAAATCCTTTGCACATATTTTAGTATATCTTTGTTCAAGACCTAAAAATTATAATGTACTTGTCTTTTGGTTTCTAAAATTTTCTATCTTTTTTTGTTATTATTAATTTTTTTTAATATTTCATAAGATATCATTAGTAAAAAAAAGTCAAATATATACATGTACAAGTTAAAAATCAAAAGATTTTTATATTTAGAAGATGTCACCTACAAAATTGTATAAGTAGAAGTAATTGTAAAATGTCATAAAAGTCTAGTAATATTTAATATTATAAAATCTTCAATAATTTTTTATTTTAGATTTATTGTGATTAGAAAGATATAAAATTTATATAGATTTTATATCTTCTAGTCTTAATTTCTTCTTTTCTTATTTAAGAACTTCAATATATATATATATATATATATATATATATATATATATATATATATATATTATTCAAAAAGAATCATATTTCTAATTTTTAGAATTTAGAACATTTATATAAGTTGCGAAAGAAAAAGATTTGTTTTTTATTTATATATCACCAAGTATTCATTTAAATTAAGGTTTTAATAGAATTCTAAAGAAATACAAAAAATAAGAAGATGTATTTGAGAAAAAAAATATTAATATACTACTAATTTTTTTTGTAAAGAAAATAAATACATACATGCAAATGTGTATAAATTATTGTCCATTCAAAAAAAATTATTAATAATTTTTATCCTTTGCTTTATATTTTGGTATGTATTAAGAAAAAAAAAGATAGTAAAAAATTACATTTTAAAATAGTTATGGCCATTTTGAATATAATGTCATGCCTTTTGGATTTACAAATACTCCAATTGGTTTAAATTATTGATAAACAATGCAATTTATAAATTTCAAAAAATTTACTATTAAATAATGTAATAAATATTAAGAGTATGAATCTAGTCAAAACTCAAAAGTCAATACATTTTCATATTATTATAGAAAGAAGAAAGTAAAGGCTTCATTTGATAATATTACAAATGACTATTTTTAAAATAGATGTGCTAATTGTTAATTCTCTATTTTACAAAAAAGTTCTATAAGTTGTTTATTAATTTTTTCTTCTTTATTTATAACATCTATTTGTCAATAGCTAATTATTGGATTTCATAGAAATTTTTAATATAACATTAAAAAAAAATGAAAATAAAATCAATAAATTTTCAAGATTCTTATATAGCTCCTACATTTCTTCACTAATATCATATGTGCACCAATGTACAAGATAATCCAATTTATTTTGGTACCTCATTGAATCCAAGACTTCTACCACTTTTAATTCTCAGTTTTAATCTAATTTAGTAAGAATTGATAGTAATTTTTTTTAGTATGTTAATTTGCATAGAAAGCTTGAGAAGAGACATATAGAATATAGGATGAGTCTTCATTGATTGCAATAATTGTAATTATTATATAATTAGATTAATATATTTTTTAGATAATAAATGGAGTGAGCCTTTAATAATCCAACTTTTTACATAATCAACTAGTCTTCATATTACAATAGGATACACATTTTTTTATCACTAATTCTAAATGGAAATTTTTTTAAAAGAAAAGAAAAAATCATTTGTATTAGTTTTTTGTTATTTTTAAGCATCTTTAAACTATATCTTTCATTGTCATGGATCTTATAATTAATCTTAACTGTTAATTTTTTAAAAAATAAAGTATAATACAATGAAGTCTATCATCTACATTTATTTCTAATAAAATTGTACCTAATTCTATACTTGATATCTTTGTTTCAATAAAAAAAAAAAAAAAAAAAAAAAAAAAAAAAAAAACTTTAAAATTATATATATATATATATATATAAAATAAGGATTAAAGTAGAAACCATTTTAGAACCTAAAAATGCCACTATTGCATCTTAGCTCCTCTTAAATTTGTCTTTACATGTTTATTGTCTAAGTAGATGAGCAACTTCAAAGAACTCCTTGATTAATATTAAATAAAAAAATATAAATTCTAAAAAACACAAAATATCATATATCATTTATGAAGTTGTTCAATTCATAATAGTTTGTACTTGTTAAAAAAAACCTTGCCCTATCACAATACAATTTCATTATATACAAAATAAATCTACATATATTAGTTTAGATTTGTTAATATTATTATAAATTTTATATAATCATATTTAGAATATTGAACTTTTTATCTTAATAATGCATTTCATCAACACTTTAGGATATCTTTTTATAGATCTATTAATAAACAAACTTCACATTCTATATATATATATATATATATATATATATATAAATATATATATTATCATGTATTTCATAAATCAAAATCATAATTACCTATCTATCTTACAATAAACAATCAAAAATAAAAAATCAAGCTTCCAAATACTTAAACAAGCCACATTACTAAAACACGCCTCAAATACTACCATTACTTGAATAAAGTATGAAACATATTAACATAAAATTACTCTTCCTACACAATACAAAATCCAATACACACACACATTCATATCCAAAGCTGACCGTTGACGTAGTGCATTCAAAATCAACGACGGGTTGACCAACGTCTCCGTCAAGTTACCGATCGTCGTTGTTGTCGTCAAAGAGTCCCCGATCTCGTGTAATAGAAAGCCCTCAGTTATATCACGTTCGACGTCGCTCATCATGCCACAGACAGAAATTAAACAACAATATAAGGAAAAATAAGTAGTAAATAATAGACAGAAGTTCCGAAAGCTTCATGCATGCGATGCCAGTAAAAACGACACACCCTGCTCGGGCGGCATCGAAGCCGAAGCGATGAAGGGCTTGGATTCAGGACAGTGTGGTCTGTGCCATTTTGTTGAGGTCGTGAGGGACTTCTTGAATGGCTGCGGTGAATGACAATCTGGCCAACAAGCCACACTACGCGCAACGAACTTGTTGATCAAGCAGTCTGGCCCGCAGCGATTGTTCCGACGAGCGCGCAAGTTGGGAATGGCAATCCGTCGCGAAGACCAAAAGGGAAAGGTCCCAGGCTAAAGTGGGACTTTGGAGGAAACCATCGCGGTGCGGGAGGGGGGACTCGTCAGCTGCGGCGCTGGGTTCGCGCCCGAGGCTCTTGCGAAGATGGCCAGATATTATTCCCATCCCCCATTGGTTCAAAGGTGTGGCCCGAACCGAATTCTCGGCCCCGTGGAACGCGGTACGCTCTGCCAAAGCTGTGGATATTTGCCGAACTAGTCTCGTGGCTAGAATTCGTCCTCGCTCGCGCATGTGGTGATCCGCGGCCACCGCCTTCGTCAGCCGTCGTCCCCCCCCCCCCCCCCCGAGTCCGTCCTCCGTTGGACCAGTCCTCGTTCGTCGCTGTCGATCCCCCATGGCCTCCAGTTCCCCTTGCACAACAACTGCAGCCTCCGCAAGTTGTTGGTGACCTGCGCCCCATCACCATCCCCCAAATTGCCACGACAATCACCTTCGTCTTTGTCATCAGCGACTCCTGCACCCTTGTTGCCACCTCCTCAAAGCGGTCCATGGTTGAATCTTAGAGTCCATTCAAACTGTAAAATTGCGCGGAGGTATACGTGGTGGGATGCTGGCTCACTCGCGGTTCGGTGCAGTCGTTTGTGACGAGAACAGTTCTTCAAAATAGAGTTTGGGTCGCATCCGTGTGTTGGTTAATCGTTTTATGAGCGGGACGCCAAGTGTTTGAGTGAGATCGGAGGCGGTTTTTGGTCTTGAAGTCGAGTCTAGGAATCAGTATAGTGGACTACAGGTATATTTCTAGAGCCACATTGGAGTCTGCAAAACTTCTTTCGTTACAGAGTGACCTAAGATCACCGGTGATTGGAGAGTTCCGTGCCGCTAGTTCATGCGGCGGTGCATGCTGATGGTATTGGATTGTATAGGCAGAGACGTTCTTGTGAGCACATTATACAGCCTTGAGCGTCTTGGGCGGGGCATTCAATTATTGAGACTGCGAATCGAGCAGGAGAGGTTTAAGTGTGGTTAAGAAAGTTGTATAAAAGGGCGTGGGATTCTTGGTCGAAGATCAAGGGAATATTTTTTAAGGTGATTTTTGAAGATAAAAGGTTTAGTAGGGAGACAGAAGAAGGGCGGAGCTATTTGAGCATGTGAGCGAAGAATCTTCGAACAGAAGTGACCGATGGCGAAGATGCATAGAGGATGCGAGTTGTGCGACAGTGTAGCATGTTTATATTGCTCAGCTGATGAAGCCTACATTTGTTGGACTTGCGATGCTAAGGTTCACGGCGCCAACTTCTTAGTGGCTAGACACACACGGTCGGTTCTCTGCGGAACATGTGGAATCTCAACCCCATGGCGGATATCTGGGGCGAACCCCACGCCTCTTACAGGATTTTGTACAGACTGCTCACAAGGAGAGTCCCAGGGCGAGTGCACCACGTACAAGGACGGAACCGTTTTGGATAGTCGAAGAGTAGCTTTGAGACTAATTCCCGGAGTAGTAGAGCGGTCAGACTCGGTCTGTGAAAGTGGCTGCTCCTCAAGTATCCGTAAGATCTGCGAGGGTGTAGAAGGTGTAGAGGGTACGCTTCCACCTTCACTTTGTGCGAGTAGCCTATCTCAGCTGAGCAGTGGAGATATGGGAAGTAACAGAAGTGATCAAGCGAGTCCGTCCTCAGGTATCTGCCAATCGCTGAAGAGGAAGCGGTCCTTCGAGTGCTGCTCAGGAGAGTCTTCTCCACAGAGCAAACAGATTGCTACTAGAACGACGGAGGATGTCAAGAGAACTGCTACTCATAGCCAGGTAATGAGTGAAACTTTCAAGTGTAAGATGGCGACCTCACTTGACTAGTTTGCGTTCCTCAGGAGTGATACAGTTGGAAAGTGTCAACCCCTCCTCTGTCTCTCTGTCTCTCTGTCTCTCCCCTAAGAGCTATAAATTAAGCGGACTGCTTTCTGTAAGTAGCAGAAGACTTAGCTCTGGCTATATTGCACTGTGGCTTACTGAAGTTTCGTCCGATCTGAAATGAACTAGTTTAGCAGTAAGACTGCAGAAGTCGACAGCGAGTGGTGAACCAATGGAGAGACTAGATCATCCTGATCAAAAGTCCTTGAAAATTTGGGCCTTTGTAAAGTGTTGTATCCGGTGTTTTGCAAAGGTTTTGCAGGTAAGGCATGCCGTTCCCAGTAGATGAAAATGTCACATACGACCACTGCCAACGCTCTGCTTCTCAATTTTTTGTGGTTGTTGTTGCAGTGCGAGTGCGACAGTGTTTCTTCCTCTTCTCTTGGTTGTCGAACTAGTCCTACTCACGCACATCAGGATCCCTTCTTTGAAACAAGAGACTGTATCAGATCTCAACCCCAAGCGTTCCGATCCAGCAGCAGAGCTCTCACCACTCTGTTAACATCTTCCACTAAGCGCCATCGAATGGAGGACCGCACACAGATGAGGCCTTCGTTTCCACGAAACCAGCAACAGGCGGTATTATCCACTTCCAGGTTAATGAGAATGCTTGCAAAATGGCATTGGGACCTGCACCTGAGCAGCCCTGGTACAGTTCCCCTTGCGTTGCGCATATTTCGCAAGGCAACCAGAACCATGGCTCTAGATGTTCTCTCAAGTTCAGGCGTGCGTGTCACTCTGGCCGCTTGCCTGCGGTTGGCTGCAGCATTCGACGAAGCCCAAATTACTGTTCCGAAAGCAAGTGAAGTTGCAGCTTGTGCTCGTGTATCCACAAGAAAGCTGGTGATGACAGAGATCCAGCTGCTGGCGATTCTGAGGTGGAGAAGATGTCCAATTTGGGCTGGTGTTCGCAGATAAAATACATCATACTTTCTGTATGTGTTGCCCGCATTCCCACGTTACACATGAAGCCACAAGTCTTTCAGTATCATCTTCACGAGTTTCCGCAAATTTATGAAAAGATAATTTATCTTTAGGACATAGGAGACCATGTCATCTCCTGTAGAAGCTTGAGCCTAATCTCTATTTCCCGTGATAGCTATCGTTCGTATAGCGAAAGTAGGAGTTCTGAAAAAGCTCCAGCTCTTGTGGCCAACCAAAAGATCAGGAACAAGATTAACAAGACTAAGTGCACTTACGGGGGTCTTGATGTTGTAGGCAATTTGGCAAACTGATCGTCAGTAGACGGCACTAATGAATTAGGGAGGTTTGCTAACGTAAGCTCCTCTAAAGGTTACGAATTTTTTATGTATGTAGGCGTAGAACAGCTTGATCTGGGCCCTATTCCTTGCGGACGTGCCCTTAGTGAGAGAAATTAGTTTTTAAATTTTTTTCAGGTTGCTAGGACTTAACTGGTCAGAGAACATACGGTATGCTCAGTTCAGGCCAGAGTACATAGGTAGCTTATAACGTTCGATGGGACCCCCTTTTATGATACATTGTAACCGCTATTCACATAGTTAATACATCCATCGAACATTTTCTTCAGCCGATATTTGTCGGAACTGGAAGTCGTTCCTTAAAACTTTGTGTTGATAACCTTCGATCGATGAATCTCTGAATCGGTTCTTGCTTGTAGAGTACTTGTATGTAAATCATTTACTCTCGTCTGCTGAATTGTAACCATTTATGGTCAGACCTCAATTGCAGTTACCTCTTCCAGCTTGGGTCTCTTAGATTGAGTGATCTTCAGAGTTGTAGAGAACAACGTCGGTGAAACTCGTTACTTCTAATATTGTGCAGTATGCTAAGAAATATGCTTTTACTTTAAATGCCTATCAAGCAACTAAATATGGATATTCCCACACATCATTCTGGTTTGACTTCAGAAGTGCACCCGAGGCTGAGAAATCTTTTGACTCAGTGTGAAACCATATTTACGATGCATGATGATGAGAGATGTGTGAAGGAAGCTTTTGTATGGTGGTGCAAATTCCACAATCCTTTGACATCTGCTTAGTAGCATGGGGCTATAACACAAAGAGAGTTGTCTGCACCTAAGAAAAACGGAATTGTGTTATTCCCCAATTTCTTAGTCATTGGATCTGCTTGTCTTGACATTTTGAAACTCCTTGCCTCACTGTAGTAGGAAGAAATAAGTAAAAGACCAAACCAAATTCTTGAATTAAACCAGAGGAAATAAAAGAAGCCGTGAGAAATTCAATTTATTCGTGTTTCGGTGCGTGTCCACGCTGCAGAATGTGGTTTTTAAGATAATGGGTCCTGACTTGCTTAACTGAACCCAACCTTTAAGTGGTACATTACTAAACTAGAGAGTTTGGGTGAAGAGTTCACCTCCTCCAATGCAATCGAAACTTATCACATCTGACTCTGCTTTCCCCGTAGTTTAGTCAGCTGGTGCAACTCTGCAGTTTCAAGTTCTGGCTCAGATTGGGTTAGAACTTCCTTCTCGCAAAATATATCGGTGAAATGTTACATAAACCTTGGCAAATGCACATCATCGATCATTTACAGCAGGTGGTTTAGGGTCAGGCTTTCACTTACCAAGTAACTTATCGTTAGGTCTGCAAAAACAGTTTCGCATCACTCTATTGTCTCTCCGAGGTCACTCTCTTGCCCTAACATCAGAACAACCCAAAGAAACGGTCCAGTAACATTGTGAGAACAAATATGCCATCAGAATGGCGTGATGCTGTTCAATTCTATACAAGGTGTATTTCTGTTTAATGGTACTCACATGTACCTTTCATAAAAGGGTGTGAAGGCGGAGAGGCATCAAATGACATGAAGAGACAATCATCCATTGGTAAATAGCCCTTGAGTCCCTCCTGCCAAACACGCTCATCCGGGACTCGGCGATGGAGTCTTTTGACTATGGATAAGAAGTAAGGTCATAATTGAGAATCGTCTTCGACTGTCACGTTCATCAGACCTTCCCATTGTTATTTGATACTTCAATGAACATGCGTGTTCTGCAAACCCTGATGGCTGGTAATCCTACGGTTTGAAGGCATCCCCTGCCGATCTTACAGATGTGTGCACATAGCTCAAGTATTGGAATTCGAGCTTCAAGCAAGTCACGATTACCACGTTGAATACTGGACGATCTGTTTGCGGAGATGGGAAACAATCTCTGCTGAATCAAAATTACGAGACTCCGCCACAGTCTTGTTTTCGTGGGATACAGCATGATATGCCAGGTCGATAATATGAACTCATCAAGAGGAATGCGACACAATTGTAAGGTCCGGGATTGTGTGTAATATCTCCATATGAGCTAGCCATAAATTGGTGAATGACCGCAGAAAGTGTCGATGCGACGCAGCAAATGATCCTGATGACGATGAGCTTCGCAACGGTTTAACGATGATTTAGACCAGCACTTCGACGAGTTTGATTGATGGCTCGTAATTCGTCCACGAAGTGCAGGGACCAAGGATCTCCAAATCCAAACTCCTACAAGGACAACAAGCACCTCCTGCGGAATAAATCAACCAATGAATCACCGAAGAAAGCAGCTTACGATTCAGGCCGCCCCCTACCTTTAGGCGTCTTTCCCGAAGCACAACAGGTGGGAGCAAAAGACAAGTTCGCGGGCTTCAATAAAAAAGTGAAAGAATCTCTCAGACATTCAATCGATTCGTATCCAATAGACCATCCATCTTCCCCGAGGTTTATGGATTATCCCTCAACACGCGCCGCTCCAGCCCCATCGCCGGCAGTCTCCGATGCACCCGACGGCAGCGCCGAGAAGGTGTTGACTGATGGATCACACAGCGACTCGGAGTTGCAGGAATCGATCTACTCGCAACAGAGGGTGCAGATCAAGAGGCTGATGATTGGGGTGTTCCTGGGATTCCTGATTTTTTCTCTGTTGTGGTGGTGGTGGTTCCCGAAATCCATTTGGAGAACACTCAGGTACCAAGATGAAGACGACGAGGTGAACGTGGAGAAAAGCCGGCGCAGGTTGAAACGCCAAATGTGTTGGTTCAACATGCCATGTCAATACGATTGCAAAGAAGATGAGTGGACATCTGGTGATCCGAGTCGCAAATATGCTAAGCTGCATTGGCCATAATCTCTCATTCGAAAGTTCGTTTAGTATACTAATTATCCACTTCTTGTGGAAGTAAACGACCGAACCCATTGAGCTCAGTGTAGGCATTTTGTTCAGGAAGAGTGCTAGAGTGCTCTCATCTTGCGAAATCTGCTAAGACAGGCTTCGGACGGAAGCTCTTTGGAGTCTTGGCTGTTCTGCAGCTTTCAATTCTGTGACCATAGGGAACTTAATATGCCATTACGAGATATCAGATATAGACATCCGTCTCGTGTGGAGAATTCAAAATGCTGGATCTGTGTTAAATGATCACTATCACATCAGCTCACATCATAATTACGTTTTCCCAAAAAAAAAGTAAAACATTACATGTATGAACACTTACATTCGGTGATAGTCTACAGTCAAATGAGGGGATTACAGGCGTGCTATCTATCAATTGATGTTCGACCCATGTAGAGAGGTAAGTCTGTAAACATTGTCTGGAAGATCAGGCAAATTATAATCTATTAATTACCAAAACAAATATTACTACCTGCTTAACTGGAAGCTTTGTATGGTTATAAAGCAGAGAAATTGTCAATGTTAGTTGATAGGGTTGGTAGTGGTAGGTACATTGAGAATCAGATCATTAAGTTGCTCTAATGCATAAATTTTTGAATGTTGAAGCACAAATAACTCAGAAATTAATGATTTGGAAAGAATGGTTGTCTGTATGAACAGCGGAAATAGCTCAAAGCAGAATGCAATGAAGTGTTCCAAATCTCGAAAAGATGTTTGATATTAAGATTACAGACAGACTGAAAGGTATGATTGACGACGATGATAGCGAAACAGTCTGTATTTGCTAAAGATACTTTCACCTCAAGTATACATACCCCGCTTCCAAAGAAACTTCAAAACATTAAATTATAATTGGTCATTACCCGATGGCGGCTGTGACTGGCTACTAGCTCGGCTGAAATAACCAACATCCCACTCTTGTGTAACCGATGCTAATGTCATCAATTGCACTACAGCAAACCTCATGGTTGGCCTCATGTCAGGCGATTGATGAGTACACCGTCTCGCCAGTTGTGCCATCTGAATAGGAAGCAAACATTCTTTTGTTAACTAAAAACATCAAGACTCAAAACAGGAATCGTTTCGTTAGAAGTAGGACACGAGCAGTGGCAACGCGTGATGGAACGTCAACACGAAAAATCATCATGTTGAGCAGAGGATTGATCATAATTTGCGACAAGTAAACGCCTCTATTCCATTTAGTTTCAGAAAGTGAAGCTTTAAGATCACTTACCTTCCAAACAGCGTCTAATGAATACTCGCCGTTGAGAGCAGGGTCAATACATTTGGGGAGCAATGTTTTGCCATCTGGATCGTTGAGTACTGGCTCAAACTGCATCAGCCATTAAGAAGAAATAATTTGTAGTTTATCAGAATATGGCACTTTATATGCTCCTACTTGATGGACACAACATAGCAGACAGAAACTAAGTGACGACTCGTAAAGCTGCACTTGTCTACTTGAACAATGGATCCACAATTACATAAAAGAATTTCAAGAGAGAAATTACGTACGAAAGATGTGAGCGTTCTGCTTTCTCGATTTTGAGCTGGAGATTGCTGGTCATTTTCTGACGGAAGTGCAGACGATATAGCTACTCTCCCAGAGATAATCTCAAACAAAACGACTCCAAACGCATACACATCCAACTTCGGGGACACTTCGCCATAAAGTGCGTATCTGAAAACCAGTATGAAGCTTAGTCCTAGTACTAATGTTAAGGTAAGAGTAACATCATTGAGCACATCAATTACTGGATGGATATCCCACAAAATCAAACCTTACAATAGCACTTGCATGAGTAGCTGGTGGCAACTTTTACTGCTTCACTCATTAGAAGAATTTAAGTCTGCGGACATAAACCTGTAAATGAAGCAGCCCAAAAACTCCATTTCCAAATTTTTAAAATTAAAATTAAAATAGATGATTTCCCAAGGAACCCGTGACAGAAAAGACATACTCCGGTGGCATGTAGCCGAACGTGCCAACAATACCAGTACCAGTTCCCTCCTCTGCCAGCTTGGCCAAACCAAAATCTGCCACCTGCAAAGAATAGGCACCACTAGACTATGTTTAAAATGGAAGACTTCAGCTACATGGAGAACATACAAACTTAGATATTTAAGATCAATGAGTATTAAGAGAACTTGGTCAGACCTTGGCACGGAAATTATCATCTAGGAGGATATTGGCCGACTTGATATCACGGTGTATATATGTTGGTTTGGTGTGCTCATGAATGTATTCCAAACCACGAGCCGAATCTAGACATATCTGAACTCTTTGTAACCATGAAAGTGGCGGCTTATCTACCCGAACAAAAGACAACAAAATTTAGTAAGTAACGTGCAATCACTAAGATACTACATGTACTTAAGATAAAAACTGAAGACTTGAATGGCTTGCATTACTACCAGCACTTGAATCTTAATAAGACCCTAAAATAGAGATTAACACAAACTACTAACATAGTCCAAAATAGAAAATTCACAATGAGAAAGAAAACAACAAACTTTCATTTCATCAATTGCGATCACTAATTGCAGGATTTATCTAAAAACCTCGTATTTGGATTGACTTAAAAGTCAGTACTCCTAGACATTTGCTTCAAAGACAAAAACCGGCCACACTTGAACCCCCTGCTTACCATCAGATTTTCTGCGACGAAGATGATGATCAAGAGTTCCATTCTCAATGTACTCGTACACAAGGAATAAACTATTTGTGGTACAATAACCAATTAGTTGTACCTGAACGAACATCCAGATGCCAAAGTTGCACTCCATCATACATCTCATGATGGCAAAATATGGACGTGATTTTCTCTAAGATCCCCATACTTGTAAAGATACCAGTACATGGAAGAATTGGAACCAATCAATCAAATATTAAGATATATGGCATTCAGCTCACTAAGGCAGGTTACGGTAGAAATGAATGCTCAATAACGATCTTCGAATGTAATGAAAATAACTGCGGGACAGGGGAATGTCAAATGTGACCCCATTGAAGCATATCATTCATACAGAACGTGAGGATAACAGAGAGTGAATCACTTACCAAATTTGTATGATGAACATTGGTTAGAACTTGCAACTCTGCCAGGAACTCCTTGGTGCATTGCAAGGTCATCTTCTTGATGGCTAGCTTCTGCACATTTTTGATACACAAGAATAATAGCACAACAAAACTTCTCCTGAATTTTCAAATTCTGAGCACTACAAAATCAGATTGACAATTCGAAGGATGAGTTAAGTGACAACCTTTTACTTGTTACTACACAACCTATGAAATTTGTAGACCAAAAAATAAATAAGTAAATAAATAAAAATCAAATAGTAGAACCCTAGCTTGTAGTTCAATAAAGTGAACATGTACCACAAAAATCATATGCGAACAAGAGAGTAAATGAAATTAATCCGAGAACAAAATGTAATATTAACTATTTAAATAAAATAACTACATACAGACGGGTTCCTTTCTACCAGGATATGTGATAGATAATAACCTGATCACGGATGACACCATAGTAAACAGAGGCAAACCCGCCTTGACCAATCTTCTTAGCCAAGCTGAAATTATCAGTGGCTGCAGCTAACTCTTCATACGTGAACTCAACTGACTTGGGAACTGGCAGCATGGTTGAACCAGACCTTGAAGGCTTACTTCCTGCCATACTTGAAGAGGATAGTAGACCTGCATATTTGAAAACGCAACTACAAAGGTATATCAGATAACACTTGAAAACACTGAAGTATCTTAAGCAGTCATGATTCAAAATTAAATAGTTTGGAGTCCTTCCAGATGATAATGTCTCAAACTTGTCAGACCACTACATTTGATACCAAATTAAGCAGCAGCTACTTTGAAACAAAAGATAAGCTGATTCATTGATGGATAGAAGAAAGAAAACGCTGCAAGTGTCCATTCAATACCTGACTGCTGCATCGTAGGTTCCTTTGCTAACTTCCGTCTACGGAAATGTTTGAATCCAAATATTAATGCAAACAATAACAAAACGGCAAGTACAATCCCTCCAACTACAACCCCCACAATGATGCCAACATTTGATCCTGAGAACCAAAAAAGATGAGTCCCGATCAGCATAAGAAAGGCTAACCTTAGTGGAAACTTTACGAAAGGAAAAGCACACAAGAATCACTAAAATCATTGTCTTAATTCTTTTCAATTCATTTCATTTCAATGCATCTAATGACAAACAACAGAAATCTCGGTCCCTTGGACGCTTACTGCTTGAGCCACCACCACTGGAGCTGCACACCACCAGGCATCAACGACTGTAAATTTAGGACCAGACCATGTAGATTATTAGTGATTTACACTATGTAAAACAGCCTGTAGGAGCAGTGACATGCTACAGGTATGTCAACTAAGGAAAGCATCACATTAGCTGCAGCAGTGGGCTTAGGAGTGTAAAACATTGAGAAGAGACCAACTGCACCATAACGCGCACCAAAAAATAAATTACTCCAGTGAACTGTGCCTAAGACATACCCAGAAAAAGGGGGAAACGATCCATTCGCAGCTGCAAAGAGAAACAGAAATAGAAACCTAATTAATTACACATGTGAGCCAAGTTATATGTGACCACTAAACAACAAACCATGGTTTAGGAATTGCTCAAATACACATAAATTTACTTTGAGATAGGAACAGTTTTCATTATATAGAAAAACCATACGAGGAACGGTTACACTTACGCGAGCATAACTCCAATCATTTAAATTTCGAAGCAGTCCAAAAAATTTAAGAAAACCAAATGAGACGGATGACACCTAGATTAGTTTCAGATGTGTCAATCCCAAAAGTACAAATAATACACTGACTCATGGTTCAGATTCGACATTATTGAGTACTTTACGGAAGGAATAGGTAACACATTACAACCATCTAAGTAGAATGCAGACCTACCTTTCGATGGTATAAAAATAATCGAATCGGGCGAGAGATTTCTAGTGTCAGAATTGAATTTTGATATGACATCCGCGTCCACACTAAAATTTGTTGAAAGACTAGTAAGCTGGTCGTCGGCTTGCACCACATATGTGCTAAAGAGACCATATTTAGGGTCCACATTCGGATCACCACAATAGCATCTCACAGGAATAGTAAGACTTTGGCCTGAATAAATAGAGCTGAGGTCGCCCGAATTCGAGGCAGATCTGACAGCCCCTACCGTCGTCAGCTTCTGGTAGGTGACATCCACAACCTTCTCCGCAGTATCGTTAGTTGTGACCTGCAATACACAATTCTCGTAAGAGCCTTCCTAAATGGAACAGTTAACCCAAAGGCTGGGTTCCAGCGCATTACGTGTTCATAATGTTGGCAACAACGACTGACTCCGCAGCATCAAAACATAAGATGAACAGGACAAGGGACATTGCGAAGATGCAGACACAAATGTGCGGTAAATTATTCGCTTACCGTGTAAGAAAATCGGTGAACGAGTTCGCCATTCAAACACAAGCAGTCAAAGGGAAGATAAATATTCGTCCCAGCTTGGATTGAATTGGCGTCCACAAGTTGAGGATTATAGGCCAGCACTTCAGAATTGTTTGTCTGGAACCGCCCTTGCAATTTCTCAAGATCATCACCTTGTTTCAGTCTATAATATGCTAGGGCTTTACATCCATTGGGAGGAATGCAATCGGCATCAACAATGAGAACCCCAGTCTCTCTTTGAGTAACACCAGAGAGCCACAATACTAACAATATAAGCCAATACTTATAAGTCCGACAAAGCTCGCTCTTCATTTTCATTTGGAATTTCATTTTTGCGGGAACCCACTCAAATATTTTCACAACAACTCCGCATATAACTTAGAAACAACCCACTGTAGGTAAATACTTAAACATCCTTCGACATTGATGTGAAGCTTAAGATGCAAGCTTTTCTCCGATTCTGCCGTTCCTTTGCCTCCAATTCGGTGAATGTGGAGACTCGGGTTCAGCGCACAGCAAAGAGACCTTGAGCTCCGTCTTACGCTCCAGGAATGAAGGAACTTAACAAAATTCACTGCAGCAAAGGTATAAACGTGAGTATGAGATAAGTTGGAGTAACCAACAAACTGCCTCATGACGTCCATTTCTTCATGATTTACAGGTCTCCTCTTTCATATATCTAATTTTTAGCACGTAGCAATTGGACGATGTTCGGCAGCATGAAGAACGTGGAGAGGATTTGAAACAAAAAAGATTCAGTGTCATAAAACAAAAAGAAATTACGACTGCGTCAAGAGCAAGGGATTTGCCCAACACAAAGGCTCCAATTTCTATCAAAACAATTATACCGCTCCTTACTATTATCTAGCAGAGCTAGACTCTGCACAGACAAGCCTAAAGAAAGTGACGCTGGAACTTGAGTAGCCCAAAATACGCAACCAGCACTTCCTTCCGCACCCAACAGCAGAAAAAGATCGATAGTAAGCACCTTGGAGACCTACCCCTCTTACCTTAACCTGGTCCCTCGCAAGAGACTGAAACTAAATCCGTCCATCCCTTACAACCTCTCCACCAGCAAACAGTCCATGGAAAAGTAAGGGGAATCACTTCTATTCCATTGAAATTTACCCACCCCAAAATTCAGCATTCGAACCGGGGTACCAAATCAATCAGGAAACAGGCGAGTGCAAACAACAGACATAAAATTTGCAATTTACACTTACAGCTGTAATAGAATTCAGAGAAGCCCAATTCTAATTTTTCGAACGTACTAGATAGCGTATTAATTTCCTAGTGTAGACAGGAGCGAAACATGAGTTTCTGTAAACTGGAGAACAAAAGATGCAGACTGCTCCTGTTCGGCGGTCTAAGACTTCCACCCAGCTCCTAAACGTCATCACACAGCCAGAAACCTCTAAAACGATTTTCATACCGCCCTCACAGCCCTAAACATAGCTCACCGAACTCCAAAAATCCTGCTAAAAACGCCATGCGAATCTCTTCAGCCCCATACACATCTAAAAATATATAGCCATAAATATATCCATAAGCACATATTTACACCCTGCATGTCCCGATGTCTCTCCACTCCGACCACACTTACATCTGTGTACCACTGAGCTTGAAAAACCTGTACCCATGTCAGCATGCCATCGTCTTCCCTCATCTCAAATCCTTCACACCTCCCAGATCGCCATCCGCAATGCACTCCCCCAATTGTAGTCTGAATTGCAGTCAAAGTTGGCACGGCTCTCGGTGCCATGGGTGCATTGACGAAGCAAACCACCACGCGTCTCTAGGAGGCGGCGAACACCGAGGCGCAACACGGTTACGATAGTGGGGGGGGGGGGGGGGAAGAGTCAGAGAAAAGATGGCACTCTGTGTGTAAACGAGCTCGAACACAGATGTCACACAGGAAGCCTTTCTCAGAAGCCAGTTTGTGGCACGTTGGGGCGTCGTAGGGGGTGCTCCCCTGCCATTCTGCCGCCGCGGCCTTCGCCCCCATGTCCGTTCTGCCCCTATAGCCGCTCTTAGAACTAACTCGCCCTCCTTTTTAAGAGAAACCTTTGATCATCCAATCATTGGATACTTGTCACACCCACCTTATTTATCACATTTTCTGAACAATTTCTGAAGATTTTTTTGTTGTTTTGTTTTTCTTGCTCAATTGTCTTTCCTGCAATGCCCCCATATTGAATCAGAATATTTGGCTTGACTTGCCTCGGAAACAATAGTTTGTAAAATGGTGAGACATTGAGTTATCCCTCTAGAGCTCACTCTTGATAAGAACACTACTAGAAAGGTACATTTGTCTTCAGCATTAAAATGCACTTTTTATAATGTGAAAATTTAATTACAAGTTGAAACAAAGGTCAAAACCATTAAATGCTATGCAGTTAAAGATCATTTTATTCAACAATATGGGTGAGCAAAATTAAGCTTTTGAAATGCAATGTGTGTGTTTTTTTTCCCAAAGAACATGGGCAATGGAATCCTTCACAAGATTCCAAACTTTTAAACAAGTATTGCTCTATCAACACTATTTACAACATGGCAAGTGAAAGGTTTATATGCATCTTTGGTGTATATATGTATATGTATATGTATTTATACACATACACACACAAACAATGAAGGAGTACAATAGCCACAAACACCATTTAAGTGAATAAGTAAATGTGGTAGCCGCTGTTTGCACTTGGAATGATGAAATTGAATCCATGTAATCAATGTTATCCACATAAAGGAAAAATGGTTAATATTACAAATTACAAAAATTAGAAAGCAATCCTTGCATTCAAGAGGATTGTACTGACCATGAAGAATTTAAAGGTTGGTGCGGTTAGAAATGGGTGTTGCTATCACAGCAACAATGGTAAGAATCCACATAAATAATGTTTTATAGTAAAAGTCCTTGTTAATATTTAAATATGAATCCAACTGCTTCAACTTCTACAGTGCATACAAAATTGGTGCTTGAGATTTGATTTGAAATGAACCTAGACAATAATGCATTTACATTTACACATTTGAAATGCTCATTTTTGAAAATTAACGGGAAAATTGACAGAAAAGAAAGTTTAAAGATTCAGAACCTTTCAAAAGTTGTCAAAATGTTGATTTCCATTTTCATTATTAAATACCTTCATCCCCGTCCGTATGAAAAACATAAAGCACAGCGTAAAATACGAGGCGTCGACGTTGCAAATTAGGACGATCGGGTGGGAAGGCAGTGTGAAAGAGGAGAAGTCCACACGACAGTTCCGATCCGGAACATGCGTCGGGCAATTGTGAGGAGAGTTTCTGCAACACGCGGGCTTTGCAATTCGCTCCCGAGCCACTGCTGGCCAAGACCTCGTGATCCTCTCGTCAATGAATCCCTCGCGCCACTCGTATTTTTTTCCAACGTGTTACGGCGGATTCGGCGTGGGTGCTGCCAACTGGGCTGCACTTGGGAATCCTGTTTCGTGGGCATCTCAAGGAAATTCAGGGAAGTTGTGCTGTGATTTTGCTTCTTTTCTAGCATCTGTGATTGATCTCTGGTAGGTGTCTGGATGAACTGCAGATGCCAAGCTGTGAGTTGAATTTTGACACAATGGATCGAGGCTGCTTGTGGGTGGTGGATTGTTTGCGGCAACTGAAGCGAAAGGAACTCATTGTGAGGTCTATTGTAGTAGTAGTAGTAGTAGTAGTAGTAGGTCTGGAACTTAGTTGTATTAAAGTTTGAGCTTAGCTTTTAGTTTGAGTCGAGACTCAGCCCAAAGGTTCGAGGCGCTGGACGGAATGGCGTCTACTATGTCATTGCAACCGTTAGTCCTCTCGTCGTGTTCGAGGTCGCAGGTCAGTTGCTCAGTTGAGAATTCGCGCCGAAGTGGTCCAATTTCCGAATTTCCTTGAAATGCAATCTCCTCAGTTTGTCTATCGGACTGAAGATTGTAGCTAGTAACTACTTTTTTTTTTTTTTTTTTTTAGTTTGCTAACTCCCAGGATTTATTTTTATTTTTGGTTTTTGCACATTCCAATGTCTTCGAAGGTTTGACCCAGAATTCCTGACTTGCAGGCGCTGGTGAGAGCTGCTCTTTTTTGCTCTCACCTCTATGTGTTTATTTTCAAGACGTCTCAATAGTCACATACTTAAGCAAGGAAGCTGTAGGAAGCGACTTTATCGGATTTCCTGACATTAATGAAGCGCCATGGAAGTCAAGTACGAGTAATTCACGGAAATGCTGTGCAGTCAGAGCTAGCGACTCCGCTGTCATAAGAGATGTTGTAGCATCAGTAAACGAGGAGGTGGAAGTGATAGCACCAGAGGATTTACAGATTGCCAACAGTAAACAAAAAGAGGATCCAGAAAGAGTAGGAGTGCTGCTGCTGAATGTTGGTGGACCAGACACACTTGAAGATGTGCAGCCTTTTCTATACAACCTGTTTGCAGACCCGGTAACACTACAATGAACCCCTGCAAAAATAGTAGGAATGATTCATTACGGCTGTTCTACAGTTCGATCAGAATTACTCTCCAGTTGTTATCCTGTAATACATTAATGCACGGGCATACGCTTCAAACTAGGCTTGGTACCTCATAATTATCTCGTCTAGGCTGCCTTCAATCTCCATTTTTATTTATTTATTTATTTATTTTGATCAATTCACTACCGTGGGACAACCTCATTCACCGTAACGAAAGTTTAGTGCTTGAGAACGAGGATCATATGTGTGGAACTGAGTCTTTGTGATTGCAGGATATCATTAGGCTCCCGCGCTTGTTTAGCTTCTTACAAAGACCATTAGCTACCTTCATATCTACTTTGCGAGCTCCCAAAAGTGCTGTGGGGTATGCTGCCATTGGAGGAGGGTCACCTTTGCGGCAAATTACAAATGAGCAGGATGTTGCTTTTGCGGCTGAATCCCATACCCGCTGATTACTTGATGGTTGTATCACGCTTCTGTTCCAGTTGCTTTTGCAAAGTAAATGAGTCTCTTGTTAAAGTACTCCTAGCACATTGTGTTATTGGTTTTGTCCTATAGTACACTAGATCTTAAGGTGGGATGCCGATGTCATTGTGAGAATCCTCTGATGGGTGTGTGATATGTCTTATGTGGACTAGGCTGAGGCTCTTACAGCTGCGCTTCAGAGTAAGGATTTACCAGCTAGAGTTTACGTAGGAATGAGATACTGGCATCCTTTTACAGAAGATGCCATAAATCAGGTATAAATCCATATAACCTGTTTACAAGTAACTGGTTATTATGCTTAAAGTTCAAGTAAATACTATAGACAATATGGGACTGTTAAAGCTATTCAGTGTGTTTGGGATTTTGTTGGTTGGGCGCTTGTTCCTTATGAGGTTTGGAATGGAGTGTGCAGATCAAGAAGGATGGAATTACGCGTCTTGTGGTCCTCCCCTTATATCCTCAATTTTCAATATCAACCAGTGGTTATAGCCTCCGTCTTCTTGAGAGCATTTTCATGTATTAAGAACATTCATGTATTCAATACCTGAAGATGGGCCATTCTTGCTGGTTTTGTTTATGGGAATCGCAAATATTAGTATTATGTATTGGTATTTAACTCTTTCGTTCTTATTATGACTGGTAGGGAGGACGAATATCTCGCTAACATGCAGCATACAGTTATTCCATCATGGTACAACCGCGATGGATACTTGCAGTCAATGGCAACGCTTATTGAGAAAGAATTAGTGAAAATTGAGAAGCCTGAAGAGGTGGATTTCATCTTATATGCACTCTAACCGTCCGCACTATGTTAAAATTTATGCTGCGTAAGAGCGGGGCTTGAAATTTGTGAACCCTAATGTTTTGTGTTGTGTCAGGTTCACATTTTTTTCAGTGCTCATGGCGTACCTGTGGCTTACGTGGAAGAAGCAGGAGATCCGTATAAGGCTGAAATGGAAGAATGTGTGCAACTTATTATGGCTGCAGTCAAGGGGCGAGGTATCCGCTGCCCACACACACTTGCGTATCAGGTAAGCTGTACGACTTCATTTAGGATTGGAAGTTCTATTGGAATGGGTAACCAGATTGATACGCTTACGATACCAATTGTATTCCAGAGTGTACAGAGTAAAATTAATTTGTGTCCGTTTGGTCATTCACGTATTTGTTATTGTGAGTAGGTAGCTTAATTAGGAAATGGTAATGAACCTTAGCTTTATGAAGTTATTTTTGTGCCTTTTTAATCAATTTCTTGAATCTAATTAGTTACGACCTGACTGTTTCTTGCTATGTTTTTGGTATTGTGAGCAGAGTCGTGTAGGACCAGTTGAGTGGCTCAAACCGTATACTGATGTTACAATCAAGGAGCTTGGGAAAAGAGGTGTGAAGAGTCTCTTGGCCGTACCTGTCAGGTTTGTTTCTTGCTCCTGTCAGTTTTAGATGTAGCATTGGGTTGTCATATATTTCGAACTGTATACATCTGTATTTTAGACGGTTTCATTATGAAAATGCAGACTTGCTTCGTGGACCGAATAATTGTAAAGGGTGCAGCTTTGTTTGTGAGCACATCGAGACCCTGGAGGAAATCGACATGGAGTACAGAGAGTTGGCCCTTGAATCTGGCATTAAGAACTGGGGTCGTGTACCTGAACTGGGTTGTGAACCCGGTTTCATCAGCGACTTAGCAGATGCTATTATTGAAGCTCTCCCTTACGTGGGTGCAATGAATGTTTCAAGCCTAGAAGCTCGTCAGGTATGAGACATTCTTCAACGATGCTTTATTTCCGTTTCGCTTCTGCTTGTTATGCGGGTCCTTTTTACCAACCTTTGATTAGTTTCAAGTATTGGGCGATTCTTCTTTAGTGACGAAAAACCACTTAAGCACTGAGGCTGAGCAACATCTGGGTGTTTCAGCACTGTCTCAAGTATGTTAAGATGCACTCTTGTCTAAGGAGCATGCCGTTTCTTGTGCAGTCGCTTGTGCCGTTGGGTAGTGTGGAGCAGCTGCTTGTCACATATGATACTCTTCGTCGAGGGTTACCAGCACCGGTGGCAATGGGGGAGTGGGGATGGACCAAAAGTGTGGAGACGTGGAATGGGCGTGCTGCTTTGGTGACCGTGGTGACTCTGCTTATTCTGGAAGTCACTAGCGGAGAAGGCGTTCTTCACCAATTGGGCATACTACCTCTATTTCACTAAATTTTGTATGATAACTGAAGCGGGCATCTTGCTGAACAACATACCTCATAAAACTGGAGTTGAAGAGGAGTGGAGTCTCATCAATACCAACAAATTCCACGGCTACGTATCTCGGTTGCTCTGCAAATGCAACTATTGCTCAGTGTGAAGACTTTGGTACTAACTTTAGACACGATTATTTTATCTGATCATTCTTGTACCTCTGCAGGAGTCCATCAAATACGGAGGTAATTTTGAAAAGGTTGACATACCAGAGTGGAGGAATCTTAGCGGTTAACTCAAGAACCAAAGATCCTCTTCATCTCATTTGATGAAATTTGCTTTGTGTTGCCTCAACGTGTGGAGTGTCTCTTAGTCGACCTGTACATGTCATTGTAGAGAGGTAACAATCGGCAATCCTCATTACAACATTCATATGCCATAGGAACTGTCTGGCAAAGTTGCTGGATATCATTGATGAATAAACATGAAAAAAAAGCATCTATTTGAAAGGCGTAGCTTGGCGACGTTCTTTGAGAATTCTACTGTTCTTTAGTGATTACTGCTAGTCGCAGCAACGCTGTTTAAGGTACGGGTGCTAGTAAAAAGAGTTGTCCTCGCTGCAGGGAGCTGCTTTTGTATGAATAGTAAGACTCTCTGGCCTGTAAGTCCTTGAACGCATTAACTCTGTTGCTAACGTTAGTTGTGCAAATATTCTCATCATATTATTCTCGTTGTCAAAAATTCGTTCTGGAAGTTGTGTGCTCTATTCAGCTTGATGCAAATTTTAACTGTCTCTGGATACATTAACAGCCAGCTGGGCGTAAATCAGATTAAAAATTGACCTCGACTTCCGGGTTCGGGTCTTCTCACTTATTCGATAACCAAATGCCACCAACACCGTCACTAAACGACTCCATAAATCTCTAGATTATCCACAAACGTACCCCCATCGTAATTCAAGTTTTACGGAAGCCAAGTTGCTGGAGTATTCTCCAGTGACATCAACCTTGGTGAAATCATTAGAAATTCTTGGGAAGGTGTTCGGCTCTTAAATACTTGGCAGGATCTGATTGATTGAGCCTCCAACGCGTGCGGGTAGGTGGATGCCTCTGGTCAAAGGTTGCAGAGGACTGAGGATGTCATCAAAAACTTACCCACCTCATATCCTGCTGCCTTGGGATGCCATCCAAAAACAGGTAGTCACGACAAAAAGCCAACACTGTTCAACGCGTAGAGGACATCTTATCAGTCTAGTAACTCTTTACATACATACTTACATATATACTTATACTGTTCAAATTTCTTTCCTGACTTGACAAGTTGATTTCGGGTTCAGTGGTTTTGTTGAGAATGTCTCTACTTTCAGGCGGCAATTTGCCACTTCTGTTCAACGAAGTTGCCGCCCTCCCCCATTCCCCGGGATGTAGATAAATACTTTCATCGAAATTAAGCAAAAAATGGATTAGATGAGGAAGCAAGGATTAGTTGCAGTTTTTTTACAGTGTTGAATGGACAAAAAATAAACTAACATTGACCTTCCCTTCCCCTGAAATGACTGCTACGATTTTGATTTTTTAATTAATAAAATTTACTTTTTGAGGGAGTGCAGTTTTGCTAAAATCCACTCAAGGAAATGCCGAAGTACTTGCCAATGTGTGGCCATTGCCTGGAGATTTGAGCTTCACTGTGGCAATCATTCAAACGGCCTGCACCGTAGGTGAGTTCTCCTTGACAGACTTCCTCTGACCCAATGCTTGTGCACTCTAAAAACTGAGGGCCATGGCTTTCTCTGGGTTCATGCTGCCAGGAAAGCCATCTCTCAAAAATTTCTCAAATTGCCCAACAATATCATGAAATTTAGCTTTCAGCTGTTTTGAAAAGAATGAAAATTTAAACAGAAGTTGTACACACACGAACTCTTTCAACAAAACACTAATTAAAGCTCTAAAAATGACACAATCCATAATTTTAGCCAAAAGATGCAAGTTACAATGAAAGATAAGAAAAGAGACGAAATAGTGTACTTGATATTCACAAACTAGTTCTGACTTTTGCCATTTAATCAGCAAGTATAGCAAATTGAACTCTCTTGGACCTTGATCCAGAGACAATTGGGACTCTGAAAGTTCAAACTAAATTTATTTTTTTATTTTAAAAAAATGAACAAAGAATATTTGGTAAAGCTATACCATATACACAAGAAGTGGGCTACAAGGCTGAGATCACAAATGCCTTGTTGAAGATTTTAGTTGGACTGCCCACCACTAATTAGACGCTTGGAAATTTGGGAGAGATGAATGATATATCTCACACTCTCATTCATCCACCCACCCTGATGCATGAACGCACGCGGAGAGAAAACGATGATGGATGAGCTACATACTGACGACTCAAACCGACTTCATCCATCCTCAAGAATCGGGGAACTAATCCGAGATTAAGGACCGCGATTAGTTCTAATTCCTTCAGGTAAACAAAGGGCAGCTGGCGAAGCTCCAACCAAGACGAGAGCCTCGGTCGGTCGGTCGGTTGGTCGGTCGATCGCTCGCTCGTCAGGTTGTGCCCTCGTCCCCAGCCCATCTTCTTCTTCCTCATCATCGTCTTTGCGGATCCTCGACTCCATCGTCTGCCTCATTATTGAATTGATTGGATCGAGCTCCAGTTGGATTGCCACTGGCACGAAGCGACTGAGGGTGTTTAGATAGGGGGAGGGGGTGCTTTTTGGGTTGCGCTGAACAGATTGCTGCCGAGTCTAGCACGGGAGCGGATGTGTTCGGCGACACGACACCCTCCGATGCTCCATCCGTCCTGCGGTTTTCAATCCATCTGCGTAACCCGAAGACTGGTCCTTTCCACGACCCCGCATGTCCGCATGACTTGTTCGACGTTTCCAGAAACGATTCGGAATCGTTCGTGCGTGCGGAGGGGGGCTTAATTGGAAGTTTTGATGCCTCGAGGAGACGTCACATGTAAGCTATTTGTGCGTGTTTTTACTATATTTGGGTTAGTTTTGGAGGCTGTGTGTTGAGTGCGAGTGACGGGGATGTTGTGATCGACTCTGTCGGTTTTTATTTAGTTGTGGGATGAGTGGGATTCTGTGAAAGCCGCAGCTGTCTTGAAGGGTTTTCGGGGATATCAAGTGACGTGTGGGAGAGACAAGGAAAGGGAAGTGCGTTTGTTTGAGTTTGAGGGATGGGTTGACACATTTATGGTGTTACTTGGGTAGTGTCACAATCTGGTTTTTGTTGGGAGGTTTAGGTGTTGGGCATGCTTGAGGCTAGTTGTTGTATTTTAGGGGATCTGTCGGTTGAGGTCATGTCTGCCTTCTAGATGAGTTTGTGTAATGCTTAAACGTGTCGGGTTCCTAGAATCGGGTAGTGGCTCTCCGCTTGAGACGATTTTTCTTGCGCGTAGAATTCTTGTAAAGCGTCTGCAGGCTCTTGAAGTTTTGGGTGCAGCGGTCTCTTACTAGTGCGTTAGTTCACTTGCTCCCCTTAGTGCCGGAGATGTTTTACAGACTTTCCTCTTCAAACCTAATTTGTAAAGTTCTCATCGTGAGGGTTCCGCGTAACCCCCAATCTTCGGTCTGCAGAGTGAAATCCCATGTTAGATGGCTTTCATGTCTTCAAGGGTTTACATGTTCTGCGTCGCTGTCGGGAGATATCAAGTGGCAATCTTCTTGGTTGTAACTTGTGGCGCGTCACACTTCGGGCTATCTCCACTCAATTCACAGCGTAGGAGCTGAGTGATTACACGTCGAAGATATCGGTTGCTTTCTTAGATGTTTTTATATGAGGTGTTGTATCGGCGGCATACGTTCGCTTCTGCCGTTTGCCTGTGACAACGGCATTTCAGTCGAGGTTCTTAATAGGTAAAGCTCATGCATTTTCTTCGGAGGGGATTGTTATTGATAGGGTTGAATCCCCACTCTGAAACACGTACAGAAATGTCGTCTTTGGGAAGTTGGAGATACTTTTATTTATTTATTTATTTATTTATTTTCTCTCTCTGGTAAGAGTATGTTCTTATTATTGCTAGCGTGTTTGGCATAAAATGCTTGCAGTGTTAAAGCTGGCTGAATTGAGAAGTAAGGGGACTGCAGTGATATAACTCGATTCAATCTTGATATCGTCATATTGTGAAGGCCAAACAATGGATTCTGATTCCGATTCTGTTGATTCTAGAGAAGGTGACTCGCGCAGACCCCTTCTGCTTTCCCTTTCCATTTTCACGGTTACATTTCAATTAACTTCCTTTCTCCTAAGCTGAGAGAAGATTTTAGTGTGAGGCTCTTTTGCGACATTTGGTCCTTCCAAAACACAATACCTGCGTCCTCGCAAGCTATTTTTCTCACTACTCCAAACTTTTAAAAACACTGCAGTGCACCACGTGCTTGTTTAGCGCCCTGAGAGCCTGCAGAGATCTCCTCTGTTCTGAAAGGTTGGCTTCTGATAATGCTCTCATTAGGAGCACAAAAACTTCTGTCACTTAGGAGTTAGGTCTAGTTCCTGCTCAAGTTATTTCCTTGTTTCACCCGCATTAACATGTATTCTTGGTTGATAGGTCAACTACTGGACATGCGTGCAATATTCGACTATGGGTCAGATCGAAGAAATATTGAAAATCGACATCCTTCAAATTTGGTATTATGTGAGAAGTTGGAAAGACCCCCACACGACTCATCTCTCCTGTCGCAATTTTTCTGGGGTCCAGAGGATGAAGAGATGGAATCACGGCCTCCAGAAAAGAAAAGGTGTAGGCGGAGATGGATGCGGGGTTCAGGAAACTCTGGTGTGGAGCAAACAACGTCTGAAAACTCTAATACCAATTGGCATGATCTTCCGATGGAGTTGTTGGTTCGAATTCTTTCATTAGTCGACAACCGGACTGTGGTAACAGCTTCAGGCGTGTGCCGCGGCTGGCGAGACTCTGTTGGCCAGGGTATCCACGAGCTTTCGTTCTCTTGGTGGGTTTTGATACCTATAATATGATCTTGGTTGTGTGTGAAATGAGTCTGGCTCTATCAATCAAAATGATGAGATAACCTAATTTTAAGAGTTTTTGTATCGAACAGGTGTGGCATCCGTGTGAGCAACTTGGTGCAATCGGTAGCTCCTAGATTTCCACGCCTTCGAAGCTGTAGGCTCAAGCGGTGTTCCTATTTGGATGATGCTGCAATTCAGATAGCTTCAACACACTGGCATGGTCTGAAAGCCCTAGAACTCAGTTACGGCATTAAGCTGTCCGATGCTGCAATGTACGCTTTAGCAAATGGATGTCCAATGTTAGAGAAACTGGATTTGAGTGGTTGCAAGGGCATTACAGAGGCTGGGCTTCTGGCTCTCGTGCAGCGTTGCAACAATTTACGTCATCTTAATCTCTGGGGGTGTTACGATGCCGGTACTGATAAAGTATTGCAGGTACATAAGCCTATTGAATCAACCCACATTAGCGTCTCAAGCACATATGATGCATTTTAGCGAAGACAGGAACTGCAACTGGATGCTATAATTGTTGTCGCATGTTCATATGCTTGTCTTGAGTTCTGCCTAAAGTATCTGTGCTGGTACTTGCAGGCGCTGGCAATGCACTGCAAAGGACTTCAGTCGCTTAACTTGGGATTGTGTGAATATGTTACTGATAAAGGGATTGTAGCTTTTGCACGTGGATGCCCAGACTTGCGCGTAATTGACTTATGTGGCTGCAAGCTTATAACAGGTATGATCGCAAATCTTTCATCACGTTTGTTGTGAAGGTGGGTGACAGATTGCAGTAGTCGAGATTGGGAAACACGGACACAGACATTTTAGCAAGTACTTGCTCTGGTGCTCACCTTGGCACGAACCTCATCTCTTTGTGGGGATGCATATGGTAATGCATGCCGTGCTCTGGAAATTTGCAAGCTCTCAAGACCTCTATTTCTTTTTACTGCAGATCAGAGTGTTGTTTTTCTGTCAGACAAGTGCCTTCACCTGTGCGCGCTGGGACTTTCAACTTGCAAAAACCTGACCGACCTTGCTATGTATACGCTGATCAAAACCAAAGCGGCAACCACATCGCAGCACACCACAGGCAAACGCAAGAGGTTTTCAGGGAAAAGTGTTGGAATGACTAGTGACTTCCGGGTGCCCAGACATAGGATATGCGCCACAAGCAGCTGCAGCAGCAGCGGCAGCACATGTAGTGATGCCAGCAAGCTGCCTATCAAGAGGGAAGGCCTGGACACGCTACTTGAGGAGAACCCAAATCAACATGGGTTGGTTTGTCTTAACGTTAGTCATTGCGATTCCTTGTCAGCGCAAGCTGTGCAAGCTGTGTGCGACGCCTTTCCAGACCTTCACACATGCGCTGAGTTGCAGTCACTGGTTACCAGCGGGTGCTTGAACCTCACATCGGTTGATTGTATTTGCGCTGTTGAGGCGAGGATGGAAAGGTCCAAGAAGGAGCGCCGGGTGTTGTTCGCGTTAGGGTAGCCCATCTGGTTGTCGCTTGTCGTTGTCCATGCCTTTTGGCAAGACAGCGCCTGTGAATATTGGACATATTATAAATTGATGTAACATTCATTATTGTGAAATGGCAATTTCTGCTGCGGCAGATGATTCCATCCATCCATATTTGATAATGTCCGGTTTTTTCACATTTGATCGTGTACTGCTCGTAAGTTAGAACAGTGAAATCTCCTTCTTGGACATGGACATCGTTCTCGTCCTTGTCATGAGTCTTCAAACGGCGAAATATCCAATTGGACATATCAGATGTGTCTTTCAGCTGACTCATATATCTAAGCTGGAAAGTGTTTCGTGAGAACATATTCCAAACTGGCTGTTTCCTCATTGCAGACCTCGCTTTTTCTGTCTAATGTTTGACATCCTCTGGTCCTTATGACCATTGTTGTCGGTAGAAATTGGTAAGTGTCTGTCACAACCAGCTCATGCTGTACATAAATTATACTTCCAAAGTATCCACCACTTCCAGAGTTCAGGAGAGAGCGAGAGAGAGAGAGAGAGAGAGAGAGAGAGAAAACAGAGAAAAGAGCACTACCAGCACTCATGCTCTGGTCTGCTTACTGCTGTGAGTATGTAATTGAAGCCCTAAGTGGGGAAAAAAATTGGTATGACTTAGTGCCTCTGACTATATTTTTTTTACATTGGGTGTCGAAAACTTTAATTCTACACTATTTTTACAGAAGGTCCTTCGTAGTACATCAAATAAAAATTCGACGTGAAGCATTGGAATTGACCAAGACTGTGTTGATCATTCAAATATTCAACAAGAAGAAGGAACCACCCCAAAACCTGAATCTGCGGTGCAACTACTAAACATCTGCTCCACATCAGAGTCCGTTCTCTTGGTGAACCTGCCTTTGATTCTCGGCCGACTCTCGGCGTAAGCTTTCCTTGAAGCGTACCGGATGGTCTTCTCAAACTTGCGCTTCTGCCTCTTCTCTTTGTATCTCATCACTCGAGCTTCCCGATCCACTGTGTCAATGGGCTTGCTCGCCTGATGCGGCACAAGCGCACCTGACAAATCTTGGGAATCTTGTGAATCCAGGGCTTTTGAGTAGGGTGTCGAGATGTCGCTTAGACTGGAGTCCGGGACGACGGCAGCATCCACAGATGAACATGACATCTGTAGGGAGAAAAATCCGTGTCCTCAAATTAGCTTACAGTTCCAATCCTAGCCCACGGCATAGGAGAACGAACAAAAGAAGAGACAAGAAGGCATCATGCAAACAAATTCTTACGCTATGTGTGAGAGTAGAAGTGCCATAGCTGCAGCCGCTCTTCTGCGAGGCACGGAAATTGATTGCAGAAGAAGGCGCCGTTGAGTTGGCCAGTGATGGACTGTCATCAGGGCCCTCAGGAATGTGCACGGGCACCATACTGTCCGGTTGAAATCCTGTACCATTACCGCCGTCCAAGACTAAGAAAGGGTCAACATCCGAGTAAATATCCGCTGCCTGCTCAACTTTTAGCTTCTTGAGCTTGGGACTGAACGGTCGTTCACGGAAGGGAAACGCCGGTGCTTCATCAGCTGCCACATAAACGAGACTCAGAATGAGGTTCTGGCCATACCCAGCCTCGCAGAGAAAGCACATAGCCACTTCAAGGATCCAAAAATCTGAAAGTAAAGCAATGGCTGTGCCAAAATTCCTAAGTTGTTCCCCAAGCATCTCTTAATTCTAAAACTTTAACCAAGTTTTACGATGGTCCATAAGGCTTGTTGTGCCTCCTTCAACAAGCCTATGACACCTGCACTGTTCCGTTGCCCTCTCTGAAAACTACCCCGAGTGCACACAGAACTCGACTTCTACCTGCAGCGATGCCTCTTAGGATGGCACTTGACAGGGTCTTAGGATGCGGAAGAAGCCACGAAACAGCCTCGGCCACGGCCGGGTCCTCGTCTCCCTTCAGCAGATTGTTGTTGCACTCATTCTTGGGCGCTAGCACACTGAAATGCGTCCCTCTAAACTGGCTCACGCAATCAAATAGAGGTTGCACAGGTACTCTCTCGTGACGCTGGGCCAGCGGGTTGGCAGAATGGATGTCCGTGTCACAGGAAACGCACAGCGACGCCGCATCCGCCTTGCAGGTCACTACGGCTGCCGCGACTTCGCAGACCTCGCACATCCATAAACGCTCGTGACGCGACGCGAGCTTGTTCGCTCCATGCACCTTCCCGTCGCAGCCCAAACACAAATACGCCGCGTCCGCTCGGCAGTACACCACCGCACTGGAAGCCTGGCATGCATCGCATGACTTCGGCATACTCTCCCGAGGGCTCAGCACAAGACCCCTGCCTCCTCTACACGTCAGGACCAACCCCCGCCCTCCCCTCCTTCAAGCCAAAACTTCAATACGCGGGGCGTTTCACCCCCCACCTTGGCTACCAAAACACTTGCAACTGCAGAATCAATCCTCTCAATCGAGGAAACGAACCGAAAAACATTCACAAAGCTCACCTCGCACAGATCCAAACTTCTCCCCCAACACTCTCAAAACTCACCAAAACTCTCCAAACCTTACGAAACCGAGCTTGTTCCGTCCAAAATTTTCCACACTAACTAAAAATTCCGTCGCACGAAGGCGTATAAAACGGAATGGAGCGAGGTGAGGAAGGCTCTCTCTACAGGCAATTTGCATCAGGGCAAGCTCCAGAAAGTTTTGTGGACCTGCCCGAACTTGTCCCTTGTCCCACTCATTGAGGCGGGCAGCGAGATAATTGCCCGAGCCACTTGACGCCATGTCCCACGAGACGGGATATGGTACTATATTGTGACAGTGTCCCCTTGTGTCGACCCCTTCTAACACGTACCTTTTTCTCAGGGTTGTGTGCCTATGGCCATGCGCCACTCGTCTCAGCGCCTCCCGCTTCTGGAAGCCTCGGCTAATCAGCTCCTGGATAAAGATTGCCTCTCACGGAGGAGGACTTGACCGTTTTCCGCGCACGGTGTGAATGGGGTTTTGTACTTTTGGATGAGAACTCTGAGAACCAACGTGGATTGGTACATGGGAACATGAATTTGAGAATTAAATAATTTCTTTCTACCCATACTTTGTAACAATGAAAGAAAAAAAATAGGATGAATACAATAATTATTTTATTAGTTTTAGCAGATGATGATTTTTTCCCCACTTAAATTCTGCACAAATTTGCAATCAAGTAATATAATGAAGATGTCCTAGTGAATTATTTAATAATAAACATAATAAATATATTTTTGCAACTCACTATGATGTATTCTTTGATATATGTATTTTAATTTGTTGATTATTGATTTTTTGATTATTCTTTTATCCAATTAAGTCTTTTGGTATTTTAGATATCTTAGTTGCATTTATCAAACATCCTTAAATTTTATGTACACTTTCTTAGTTATATGAAATCTTTCTAATAATAAATAAAATGGTATTTTTCCTAACTGAGACCATGATTAGTAAAGCACTACTCTTATACCAAAATAAAAACCGAAGTAATGTATAAAAGTTCCTCTTTTATACATTATAAATAAGGTTTTCTTCTTACTTTGTATATAAATTTACCACAAATCATAAAAATGAAATAATATTTTTATACAACCTGTATAAGGACCTTATACAATTAAGCGGGAGGCGCTTAATTAAGCGGGAGACGCTGCCAGACTCTATTTTATCGAGGACCGGTTACACGGGATTGCTGCGTCTTTAATAGAGTCTGGCAGCGCGAGATGCAGTGATTGGGAGGGTTGAAATTCTACTTGGATACGTGGCGGCGTGATGCTTTAGAGCTTTGTGCTCCGTGACCGTTGAACTGAAAGGGTTTCGCGATTGGGGAGTTATATGTTGAGTCTTATAACCATGTTGCGGAAATCACACTTTCTCGATCGTTAGTTTCGGAGCTCCCCGTTTTTGAGCACCCGGTGACACCTCTTACGCAGACTCTGTGATGGTTCTGCACGGCCAGCGAAATGGAATGCTCACCCTAGATGCCATGCGTTTTATTGCAAACCATGGTGCTCTGAATGACCTTCCCTTCACGGTAGTTTATGATATATTGTCGCTGATGAAATAATTTGCTGACAAATCATTTGATTGAAACACTCAAAACTTTGGCAATTTAACTTGAACAAAACCAAAAAAGTAGAGTTCATAGATAACTGTACTTAGAGGTTGGATAAATTCATGATTCAAAGCTTAATTAGATAGTCTCTGAAGATTCCATAATTTTTCGGGATGTTTTATTGTAATGGTGTCAGAAACAGAATTTACACTCGAACCATATGATATGCACTCATCTACAAAAGATATTTCTCTCGACAAAATATATTTTTCTTTCTCCTGCCCACTCTCATCACATACTTGCATTCCCGTCAAGTTTTGAACAGTATTAGAGAGTGAAAGATTTGAGACACTGGGACTTGACTCAGGATGGAAGAGTGGCGTTTCTTTCGGTTGAAAGCTATTTCGATTTCCCTCTCAAGGCAAAGAGCAATTCGGATCTCAATACGATTCTCATTCATCATTTGCACCATACTCCACTATCTTCGTCATTGCTATATTGCAAACAGATTTTTCATCCTGAATTAAATTGCGACTGTAATTCTATTGAGAAAATACCTCTAGTCAGCATGAATTGTATGAGTATCTCCGAAAAGCCAAGAGTTGAACCAGCTTGAATGTTTGCTAAGATGAACTAGCCACCAGATTCTATCCATGCTTTAGATAAGCAATGTATCGTGTACAGGACGGAATACAAATAGTCAGATGGACCCATTCTAAGTAAATGGGTTTATCTGGATAACATCTGCATAATGCCTAAGCAGCCTTGAGAACCTTGGTATACTGATTCTCCCTCTCAAACACTAGGTCAAAAGCTTGCTCATCGGAACTCAAGGAAGCCCCCAGTAAAGATAATGGCTTATGAGGTGTCTTTCAATCTGAAATTAGACCTTAGAAGCAGTAGGTGGTCCCATATTGTTACATGTTTCACTTCGCCTTCCATTTTTAGTGCAAATATTACGTTAAGGTAAAATCTATCAACCGTCGTTGTCAAGGGACCAGATCTGTTTCTGTATTTGCCGAGAAATGTGTAACTAATCAAAGATGCAACTCGCACTGTCGATGCCCAAGATACAAAGCTTTGCAGCATATCATTCAAGTGGGTGGTTTGTCTTTCGTGGCCATGATACATAGAGGCATTTTAGATATTCCTTGATCTCATCCGCAGACTACCAACCATCTTCAACGGAAACAGCAACAGTTGCAGGGTCATGGCCCATATACACATATTTGAAGAGGTACTTCACACCACAAATATTATTGCATACCTCAACATTAATATGTGTATTGTACTTGGTCAAAAAATGTAGATTATGCTGTGTTAGCCAAAGATTATCAAGCTCTACATCACCAAAAGTAATTGTAGCTCCAGTATCTTGTCATTGATAAGAAGAATATCCATTGTCATCACAAATTGTCTCAAAGTCCTATGGATATTGCTTTAAACACATGCCATCTTTTATGCATGGTGAATTAAAAACATTGTTTTATAAGGGCTATGCATCATAGACATAGATATTATTGTGTATCCTAATACATTTACATTCTTATTAAGAAGCTTTCTACTAATGAGCTTGTCAATTTATTTATTTATTTATTTATTTTTGAGTGTAATTGGTCTTTCGGTGCAAAGAATACCAACATGTGTGTATGTGATAGGCCTTGCTTTTGGAACTCAATTATATGAATTCATACCTTGTGACGACTCAAAATATGGTGTTTTTGGATATCACTATTCAATTCTTTTAGCTTAATATGAAACATGTGAGCAACCAAATTGAGACAACTTTGTCCAAGCAAAAGTACATTCCTAATCCTTAGCTATTGTGGATTGCATGTGAATGTCATAAATACATCTCAACAACCTCTTTATCAAAAAATGACCATAACATCTTGATAGTTTTCTGCAATTTGGTGGGATTAATTAATAAAAAATCATATGTTTCTTAATAGTAATAACACTGGTCTTTCTTATTACAATTGTATCCTAAAGACCTTGATAGATGGAAACTTATAACTTCTTCTCATTGCATCAAATATAATTCATTTATTTTTTCTTAACAATCTTATAGGCATGAAAAAAATATTTTTTATAAAGTCTTTTTCTTTATAGCAATGCAATACTACTATTGTCTATGTAGTACAATTGATAGCCTTAAAACTATGCAAATGAGACATATGTTTGCTTCTATATATATATATATATATATATATTTCTTTTTTCTAATTTATCTTTGTTTAAAAAAAATTTATTTTATTTTTCAAAAGAATATTTTGATGCTATTTTTCTTTACCATAAGAAAAGAAAAATAGATACTATAGTGCCATATATCTTATATGTACTTAAAAATTTGCTACAAAATTCTATGCTTGAGCTCTAAAACTATATTCTTTTAATGAACATTGTCAAAGCCATCTTCTACCATAAAATCAACTACTTTGCTTGATGTTGGTCTTTTGTGGTACTATCCATCTTATATACATGTGCCAAATATGCAAACTTTGATTATTGGTGCATTTTTATTTTTCATAGTCAATTTGTCATGCATCTTCTTATAAACATGTATGTACGGGTTTGTCTTATAATGTCAAGGTCAAGAACTCGATGAAAGCTAAAGAGTAAATGAGACTTTTCTCAAGAAGAAATAGGACAAAATAGAAATATGTATATTAAGAAAGAAACTGGAATGACTATTGCCAAAATACAAGAAAACTAGAGACCCTTGAAACTAGACTAGAAGTAAGAAAGGAGTTGACAAGAGTGAAGAAGCCTTCACTCTTGTCGCTATATATACTATCTAACTAGGGGCTACGTGGCAACGTTCTATAGGACCTCCAATATGTGTTGACTTTGTAGGACACATGCCTTGACTTACAAGACAAGTTTTTCTACGTGTGGGCCACATAGTTAGCTTGATCTTCAAGCTAACAACATGTGTGGCACATGGCCAACTTGTTGACCACGTTTCTAATCCAAAAAGTCAATTAAAGACACCTATGAAGTCAAAGCAACGTCTAGGAAGTTTCTAGGAAGCTTCTATATTAAATATTATACAATTAACTTACTTTTATCTACTTTTACTTACTTCTACTTATTTCTATATGTAATTATTAGCTTACATGATTATGGCCGTGACATTACCCCCCCTTCTAGAGACGAGTTCCACGAGGAGCGGTCATCATATGTTGAGGAAATCTATGATGCGACGAATTATATTCGCCACATACTCTGATCTCTGTTCTCTTCGAAGATGATTGATAGGGCCTCTCAACCATCGGTAGTGTCCCATATCAGGGCGGGAAGACCACCCAGTTATTTGATCATTATTGAGGTCTTCATAACTTCCTTCGAATAGAATATTCAGAACACCATCACGAGTTGTTCCTACCTCTAGCAAAATCACCAAACATCGAGAGTCCCTTCCCAAATCGTGATACCAAATGCGTTGTATCTCACCATCTGTTCGAGGAAGAACATGTCGTTCTTGAAGATCTTCATTTCGATTGCGTCGTCTTGAAGGTTGTGACAATCGTAATGTCTCATCCGGCAGGTCAGCAAACGAAGGTTCTTGAGTTGAATCCGCTGGTTGTTGGCTCTCCATCTAATTAGCGTCACAAATGTAAAGAAGTTACAAACAAGGATAGGAAATTGAATGTTAT